TTTCAAAATGGAAGGTTAGAAAGTATTTATACTTGAATACCCTCAAAAACCTAAACATTATCAAAATAATTACAGAAAACTGAGTCATTTACTAAGGATAATTCAAATTTTTTTAATAAATTAGACAAGCTAGCACATGCATTTTGCCACACAGAATAATCAACTAAAATTCAGTAATCTTTGATGAAGTAACTTACACACATTTTGCATTAATATACAATTAAAACATAAACATTGATGTCACATAATTTTATATAATTTTTTATACTAGATTATGTACTCATACTTAGTATGTCCACGTGTGATATGTGTATAAAATTTTTGTTGATTCAAACATGTATCTCTTTTTACTAGGTGACAGTTTTTAGAGAAAAGTCATGGAGTTTTAGAATTAAAATCTACTCAGTGTTCTTTGCAATCTTTTGTGGGTATCCAAGAAGGGTCAGACCCTTTGTATGTTTTAAGGAGAGAAAGAACAATTAATTAGCAAATTCCAATATGTTACCAGCACTAAAGCTAAGATAGGGTGGATAACCTGGTGACAAGATACTCCTGAGGGCCTGATGGCTTCCTTTTATATCCTGATAGGTATCATTATGATACATACAGAAGGAAGCCAGACATTTTTAGGCTAGACTGCACATGGCATGTTAAACCAATAATCCTCTCTTGTGTTTCTCATAAATCATTTTCAAAGTAAAAACTGCATTTGGAGTCTATTTACTGATCATGTATGTGTCACTATATTAATAATTCAGCTAAATAACCAGTCTCTTGGATTAGAATTTATAAAGTAGCAATATTTCTTCTAGGGTTTTTAGATACTAAGAAAGCATGGGCTTATTAGATTTCTAGTGATCTAATCATGTGCACAACATAAGGAATCGTTCCACATGCATATATAGAGGATTGTACCACTTGAGACAGATAATATGTACTTGGTTCATTATAGAGCTTGCAGGATTCTGTACCACCTAATAAATAATGGAGTTTTTCACATTTGTTTTCAGTATTTGCTTGTTCCAAATGTACAAGCAAAGGTACCTCATCCTTTATGAGGTAAACTTTCAAATGTACAAGATAAACTTTTAAATGGCTTGATTACAAACTTTAATTATATTGACACTGATCTCAGAATATCTTCTCTTTTAAATGCAACATACCAAGAACTCAATAAAGCTATACAGAATCTTCACTTGCCAGCTCTGCTGGTGACATAAACAAAATAAAGAATATATATAGTGATACAGTGAAAGAGTTAACCCCGTATTGTTTCTACTTTACATTTGATTTTTAAAAGGCAATTAACATCTCTTATCTATAAATTATTCATAAAGAACCTTATGATTCCTCTTAATCATATCATTTAAATTTGTATGTTTTAAAGAAAAATACAAATTTAGGTCATGACCTTGCAAATAGCCTAAGCAACCTTCTTCTCTCCATTTAATCTGTTCTCATTAGGGGCAAATAAATAAGACTTTCCGGTGTCTATAACATGTCAGAATTCAAATTCTAAAATATAAACATTGTGTTTTTAGGTAAAGCCCTCTGTGGCAGTGTTTTGGCTTTGGGCGACGGCCCCCCTCTCCCGGGGATCGTCGCCACTGTCCAGCAATTACAGGAGTTCAGCAGGACGAAACCAGGCTGAGGAAAGCTGCAGAAAAGCTTCAGGGATGCCCAGGGCGATCCACAAGTATCCCAAGGGTACTTCAGGTCTGCTTAGATGCTGTGGAGGATGCGTCTCCTTGAAAGCTGGAAAGCTGTCCCTGCTGGGAATTCCAGCTACTGCCAGCCTGTGTGCTGAGGGCTGCTCTCTCCCTGAGGGGCTATTCAGCAGACAGCAGAACCCCACAGCCTCAGGAGTGGTCTGCGACTGTTGGATGTCTCCGTGTGTCTTTGTCTCTGTGTGTGTGTGTGTGTTTGTTTGTGTCTGTGTGTGTGTCTGTGTGTGTCTGTCTATGTGTCTCCATGTGTATCTTTCTGCGTGTTTACATCTGTCTGTTCAAGTTGTGTATGCTGGACATAATTGTGGCCAGTGCACTCCATCCCGGTTGCTCTGTAGTCTGTCTACCTTCTGGTGTTTGTGCATCCTCAGCAGCTTAGGGGCTGTGTGGCCCCACCTTCTTTGTGTTGCTCCTGGTTTCTGAAGCCTTAGTGTAGTGGGGGTCTTGCTCCCACCCGCAGCCCTCCTAATCACCTGCCCATCCCAAGGGGCCGGATCACTCCTGCAGAAAGTAGACGAGCACAGCACAGCAGAAACCATACTCTTCCATGGGCCCTTGGCCCTGCCACACATGTAGGACTGCTACTGTCCTCAGGTCCTTTTCAGGGACTCCAGTGTTGGTGGGTTTCTAGGTTAGGATTCTTGTTGAGGAGACTGATTTTCATTCCTGTGTCACAGAGAACCTGAAATTCTGTATTTTGTGTAGGTTCTCAAGATGACAGTGCTTATGGGTCATGATTGATATTTCCAGGGGTAAGTCTCACTATTGTTCTTTGGAAGTCATTACTGTAGATTTAGCATCTGCATTTAAGGGCCTCTTCTGGATATTGTCTTCACTTTTCTTCCTGATTTCGTGAGACAATTCAAATACATTGATGGGCAAAATAGACGGAAACAGAGGCATAGTTCCTAATCTCCCTTTTCTTCAATTACTCGTGTAGTGGACTGTTCGCTTCTTCAGGTACAGATTAAATGGTCTGCAGTTAGCCATGGGATGAAATCACAGTGGGCTTGCTATGAGGAAGAATTGAAATGACAATAAGGTAAGACAACGTTAATAGATTTGTAGTATCATGTGATGTGTTAAGAATGATTTGGTACCTTCTCTGGCTTGGGAATGATCCTTGATCTCAGCCATCCAGGTAATTCTGGGGAGCAGTGCCCGCTTTCTCTTCCACTTTCTAAGGAACAGTGGTCTGCATGTTGGAATGGCAACATCTACACAGAAGGTGTGCTGTGATGGGTGGAGGTTTCTAACGTATTGGCCACAAACACGCAGGTACTTAGTTCTTTTAAACACCTGTAAACGTTAATTGGCGTGGTAAATGTCATCTAAACTATAGGATGTGAATTGTAGCTGAATTACTTTACAGGGATCCTCTCTCTGGCATTCTAAGTGCTTTTACCTTAACTATGACTTTGGAGCTGTGAGACCTTTTCCTTCTGCTCTTCTGCTGCTGCTGCTGAAAAATTCTCTCTTTTCATAAAGACAAATGCACCTGCCTACCTGTGAGCAAAGTATGCATGTAGGACGATCCCAGGTTTCGCATTTCACCTGTAGAAGTCAAACCTGACAAGCTAGGCAAACTGACACGCTCTGAGTAAATGCTAATCACGGACATTTATAAAGTACATATAAAGTACATTTCATCTGTTACTTTGTATTTCCCATGGCATCAATGGTCACCACATATAGGGGTCCCATAAATTATGAGTGGTAAGTAGATATTTTCTCAAGAGCCTAACAAATGCAACCATGTTTGACAGAGGAAACGTATCTTTTCCTTAAGCAAAAACTCTATATCATCTGCAATTTCCATGCTGTTTTTTTTTTTGTTGTTGTTGTTGTTGTTGTTCTTGTTGTAGTTTTCCCAGAGAAGCAGAGGAGGAAAACAGAGCTTCGTTCCTGAGGGAAGAAGCATGAGATTGGAAGAAGTTATGCACCTTTCCTCAGCCTTACCTTTGAGACAATTTATTTCTGAAAATTGTTTTTTTTATATATCCTTATCCTGTTTTCTTCTGTTATCTTTTCTTAGCCCGTTGATGGCAGGAAAGAGTTGCCAGAGAGAGAAGACAAAGTGGGTCTGTGCTGCACAGGAAGATCCCAAGGCTGAAGATGAGATCTTAATGTGCAACTTGCAAGGGAACCGGAGACAATGAAACTCCGTTCAGGTAAGTTCGATGCTCTAAGCTTGTGTGGAGGGGATGAAGATTCCATGGTTAGGATTTGCTCATCACAGCAAAGTTGTAAAACCAAACGGTAGGGTAGGACCTTTTTTAAGATGTGATTTAGTAAAAACAGTCCTTCAGAAACCGATTTCACCCACTGATTCACCTCCCACACACGGATACTCACTGGACTTAGGTGTTCATAAGAGTGGGAATCTGCATTTTTAACACCGGCAATTATTTTTCTCTCGACAGGTCAAGTTCACAAGGGGTCTCTGTATAGAGGCTATCATAGCAATTTTGAAGAAAACGCTTGGCAGCAAGATGATGAAGTTTTCTGTCAAAACGATAAAGTGACTAAATCCGTGAGCGTGTTTTGCTTGACGTTCGTGGGAGTCCTCAGCGGCAAGTCTGGATATCCATTTAGGGATTTGGCTTCGCACCAGAAAGCTTCTGAGATGCTGTCTGCACCCAATCTGCCCCCAGTGGAGGCCAGATGCAGTTGTTGCCTTTTCTACTTCACGCTGTGCTTGCCACAGGTTTTCCTTTCTTGCCGCCTTCTTCGGACAGCAGTGATGAGAAGCAGGGGTCCCTGGGCTTGCAGAGCAGTTCAGGACTCCTTGGTGGGTGGCCCAGGTCCAAGGAGGAGCAGTCAGCTCTGGGAGGTAGGGAACATTCGCCGACACCTTGCCAGAGGGTCTCAGGCATCATTCTGTGGTCCAGAAACCCCCATCACACGTCAGCAGACTGAATCTGCAGCCCCGTGGGACCCGATCCCTAACCATGCCGTCCGATCTGGAATCTACGGGGGAGAGTAGTCCGGAACGCCCACCTCACGGTGTGAAGCGCCCTCCCCCTTCAGAGGACCCGAACAGGAAAGCCGGTTCAGAGAGCGACTGAAGTCAGGACGATCGGGCTCCTGCCCTGCTTGTGGTACGCAGCCTCCTTCCCAGGGGCCGCCTCGGACACCTCCGCCAGCATTTGCCCGCGCCACTGCTGCCGGCCGGTTGCGGAGCGCGGACATTGTGGCTGGCCAGCCGGGCACGCCAATGCGCATGCGCAAGCGGCGGGTGACAAGCGCGAGAGCCCACCCGGGGCTCACGTCACAATGACCGCCCCCGTGGCCTGTGGACCCGCCATCTCAGCGGCTTGGCCAGGCAGGGGCCCTCCTTCGCAGTTCTTCGGCGTTGGGCGACGGCTCCCCTCTCTTGGGGATCGTCGTCAGAGTCCCAAGATTTCAGGAGTAGGGCAGGGCGGAGCTTTTTCCTCATCCCGGCTGAGGAAAGCTGCAGAGGAGCTTCAGGGATGCCAAGCGAGATCTCCAAGGAGTCCCAGGATAATTCAGGCCGGCTCAGACGCTGTGGGCGATGTGTCTCCTTGAAAGCCTTCCCTGCTTGGAATTCCAGGTACCGCCAACCTCTGTGCTGGGGGCTGCTCTCTCCCCGTCAGAGAGCAGAGCCCCGCAGCCTCAGGAGCTGTCTGCGACTGTTGGATGTCTCCGTGTGTCTTTGCTTCTGTGTGTGTGTGTGTGTGTGTGTGTGTGTGTGTGTGTCTATGTGTGTTCATGTGTATCTTTCTGCGTGTTTATGTTTGTGTGTTCAAGTCGTGTAGGCTGGACATAAGTGTGGCCAGTGCACTCCAGCCCGGTTGCTTTGTAGTCTGTCTACTTTCTGGTGGATGTGCGTCCTCAGCAGCTTAGGGGTTATGGGTCCCCGCCTTCTTTGTGTTGCTCCTGGTTTCTGACGCCCTAGTGTAGTGGGGGTCTGGCTCCCACCCGCAAATCTCCTAATCACCTGCCCATCTCGAGGGGGCTGGTCACTCCTGCAGAAAGCAGTCAAGCGCAGCACAGCGGAAACTATACTTTTCCATGGGTCCTTGGTTTTGCCGCACATGTAGGGCTGGTAGTGTCCTCAGGTCCCCTTCAGGGACTACAGTATTAGGTTTCCTAGTTAGGATTCTTGATAGGAAAGCAGATTTTCATTTCTGTGTCAGAGAGAGCCTGAGATTCTGTATTTTGAGTAGGTTCTCGAGATGACAGTGCTTATGGGTCATGATTGACATCTCCAGGAGCAAGTATCAGTATTTTTCTTTGTAAGTCATTACCGTAGATGCAGCATCTGCATTTAAGGGCCTCTTCTGGATATTGTCTTCCTTGTGTTAACTGTGAGTCTAATCTTCTCTAATTTCTGCTTGGAGATATCGTCTGGCCCTGTATTCTCATGAGTCAGTTGGTAAGTTTGTGGATATGCTATAATTACTATCATCTAGTTCTTACACTTCTACTAAAATCTTTTACTCCTTGCTTCTGCTCTTTCTCTTTTCAGTTGAGGAAGAGTGTAAATTGCAATTTGGATGATGTCTTCCTCTGTAAGGTCATTCTCATAATTTCTTTATGGTTCTAATACTAAAATTCAACTCCCTTTTTATGAGCAAAAAAGTCCTCCTTGATCTGCCTCTCCACCTCCTTCTCTCCACTTGTTCATGGAGCTAATTCCAGCCCTGTGCTCCTCTTTTACTGCTCTTCAAGTAAACCAAATCCTTTCCTGACAGTGACTTTACACATGCCTTTGTGCTGCCTGGCTCTTCTCACCAATCCTGCCTTATACTCCACCACCATTCTTCCGGGCTTCAGGCAACCTCCAGCCAGCTGTATCACCTCTCACCATTTCAGTTCACATCGTCCTGTTTCATTACTTTAATGATATCATCATTGCAGCCTGAAATTTTACCTTCTCTTCATTGGTTTATTCATTTCCATCTATCTCTCTTAAACTATGCCCCCAATTAAAATGGTGGATCCATGAGAGAAGAGACCTGACATGAGTAGTAACTTAAACCACACCTGACAATCGGAGGTGCTAAATACCTCCCTACGGAACCACAATGAAAGGAGATGAGAGGTTCTCCTAAGCTTTCTCAATTTTATTCTAACAGTAAGCCTAAGCCCTAGCTTGTGTTAATTGTGAGTCAAATCTTCTCTAATTTCTGCTTGGAGATATCGTCTGGCCCTGTATTCTCATACATGTTCCTGCTTTGGGACCCTGTGAGATTATTAATGCAGACTTCTGAGAGCCTGGAAAAAATACACACACATGCAAGCATATGCACACACACACATTTATTCAGAGCTACTGACAAAGAAAAAGTAGATAAAGCATCTCTTGTAGCCAAAATCTGGATGAACTCCATGAAGGTTTCACTAGTTAACAACAATAAAGAAATAAAACTGTTTCATTCAGGATACTTTCATAGTGCCCAGTGGCCTCAAGTGCTGGTAAGTATTTTCAGGTAGAAGAAAAAATTACCTGTTTCTTCTGTCAAATTTGAGATCAAGCGCTACCCTCACTACCCTCTATAAATTCACAAGCACAATGCACTTGTAGTCATTGGGGAATATGCTTTCCTGGTTCATCATGGTTTTCTTTTCTTTCTGAATCAAGTACACCCCCCTTTAGAGATAGACAACCAGGAAAAGTGGCTATTCTATCTGACTCAACTCACTCTGCCTCAATTAATAAAAGGAGATATGAACACTGACCACAGCTGGGTCAATTCAATGCTCTCTCCTAGGGAATTTGTAGTTAGGGGGTCATTCTGTTATTTACATTTGTATTTAAGCAATAACTTTGCTGTGTTCCCATTATGTGTCAGGTATTATTCTAAATAAGTTTTAGCTCTCAGGAAACTTAGATTCTAGTGTGGGAAGGTGCATACAGTAAATGAGGAACAAAAAAAATAAGACAATTTATGATCAGGGCTTGGAATTGTTGTGGCCAGATCTTTGGAAGACATAGCATGTGAGGTAAAATGCAGTTGACATAAAATACTCAGGAGTGGAGATCATGGGAAGGCATTTCCAAGGGATTTTGTACAAAGTGCAAAGTCAGGGGTGAGGCAAACCTGATGGGCTACATTTCTAAAGAGAAGTTGAAGGGGGGGACTGCTGTCCATAGTGCCAAAGCCTTTCCTGGTCTTTGCTTCACTGGCCATCCAGCTGATCTTCCTTCTCTGGAATCCTCTAGAATCTATGAAATATTTTTAAGCTACATTTTCCCTCTGTGCTTAACTGAGTTTAAACTGGGTTTCTGTTCTTTGCAGAAGGATATATTAGGCTATCCCTTGTTCCCATATTTCTATGACAACAGCTCACCATAAAATATCTAAAAATGGTAAAAACATGCAAAATAAGGACAGACAACAGAAATTCAGCTGCTGCAACTAAGCAGTTAAAAGCCAAGAAAATGAAAGAATTAACCAAGCTTGAGTGTGAGAACATTTCATGAAGAGAGGGGGCTTCAGGAAGAATGAAGGATGCTTTTTACTTTTTGGTCCTTTTTGCAGGGGGATGAAGCTCAGAATAACTTGAGGTCTCTATAAGGAGAACATCACTGTTTACAAAGCAAAGATAAACTAGCATCACTACAACAACTTCATATAGCTTATAATCTGAGAAAAGCTCCAGAGTCCCTGACCCTAAAAGCTAAGTAGCTCAAAGATACCTAATAGGTTTTATTTTATGAGACAACTACCTGTTTGCCTCACCCCTGACTGAATCATTTGCAATGACTAAATAATTGTTATCAACAAGCTTCTGAAGTCTAATTCAGTTTATCAGTGAAAATCTTTTAGTGATGTGTGTCATATATGTTAGACTGGAAGAATCAGTGGTATGCTTCTTATTCACTTTCTCTGTTATACAGAAATTAACTACTTTCCTTCCTGTATTTTAACAGATGAGATTTTTTTCCTATCAATTATATAAGAACCACTGCACATATGGTGACTCAGAAAGCTCTCCTCTGGGAGCCAGGCATGGTGGCTCATACCTGTAATCTTAGCACTTTGGGAGGCTGAGGTGGGCACATCATTTGAGCTCAGGAGTTCAAGACAGGCCTGGGCAACATGTTGAAACCCCATCACTACTAAAAATACAAAAAAATTAGCCAGACATGGTGTGTTCCTATAGTTCCAGCTACTCGGGAGGCTGATGTATGAGAATCATTTGAGCCTGGGAGGTGGAGGTGGCAGTGAGCCGAGATCATGGCACTGCACTCCAGCCTGGGTCAGCAGAGCAAGACTCCATTTCAAAAAAAGAAAAAAGGGAAAAAAATTTAAAAAATTAAAAAGAAAGTTCTTATTTAGGGAGTGCTTTTCTATTACTAGCCTAACCAAAATGTAAAAGCATTCTAAAAATCTCAGGGAGCCCTAATTAACTCTTGCCACTTACTCACAAAACTAATAGAAGGTAGGGAAAAGTATAAACAAAGGAGTTTGGAGAGGGCAGAGAAGGATGGCATGGAATTTCTTTTATTGAATCTGGTACTTCACTCATTCCATTCTGGTACTCCATCAGTTCTCATGACCATGCTCACAGGGACATGGCCGTTTCCCTATTTAACATCCAGAGAGACTGTGGCTATGCAAGGTTCAAAGACTTTCACAAGCCCATCCACCTGACACATGGCAAGGAATGAGCCAAAGTCTATCTTCAAATCCCTGGTCATTCCTTGATAGCAGGGGGTCAGTAAGCCACAGCCCGTAGACCAATTCAGCCTCACTGACTGTGGTTGAAAACATTTACTGGAATGCAGCAACATTAAATTGCTTTTGCATTGCCTAGAATGGCTTTTTCTTTACAACTGCAAAGTGAAGTAGTTGTGATACAGACTGTATGGTCCATGAGCCTCAAATATTTATTACCTGACCCTTTGCAGAAAACGTTTGCCAACCAATGCTTTATGGCATTGTGATGAGCTTTAAACATAAAATCCTAAATCTGACACATGCTTCTTTTTAACCCTGATACTTAAAATAAACTTTCCCTGTGGTAATATTTTGCCTAAATATTTTCACCTTGAAGCCAATGTTCTGGGCGGTTTTTTTTTTTCTATCATAATAACTCACAATAGAAATGGAGCAGGGGAGTACAGAGGAAGATAATTTTCCCCAAGTAAATCTTTTGCAATCCTTTCTAATACCACTCACCTTTTACAGAAAAGGGAAGTCAACAGTGTTACTATCCTTAGTGTCATCTCATTTATCAGCCCATAAAGTACTATGCAATAAAATCAAAGGGCCCTACCCGATAAATCCATACTAGTGCATAAACATGGTGTATACTTTCTAAAAACATGTCTTTAGAATGTAGAGCTTCACCTTGTCATGCATCTGCTAAGAAGAGGGACCCACCATTAGGAGTCAGACTTCCAGAGACCCTGTTCCTTTCTTGTGTGTGGTATCTGTAACTTACTTAACCTCTCTAAGTCTCAGGCTTTTTTTTTTCTGTTTTTGTTTTTTGTTTTGTTGTTGTTGTTTTTGCTTTGTTTTTGAGATGAAGTCTGGAGGTCTTCATTTTTGAGATGAAGTCTGTTTTTGTTTTTGAGATGAAGTCCAGGCTGGAGTACCATGGTGCAGTCTTGGCTCACTGCAACTCCCACCTCCCAGGCTCAAGCGGTTCTCTTGCCTCAGCCTCCTGAGTAGCTGAGATTACAGGCGCCCACCACCACACCCAGCTGATTTTTGGTATTATTAGTATAGACGGAGTTTCACCATGTTGGCCAGGCTGATCTTGAAATCCTGACCTTGTGATCTACCTGCCTCAGCCTCTCAAAGCACTGGGATTACAGGCCTGAGGCAGTTCTCCTGGCCAAGCTTCAGTTTTCTATCCAAGAAATGGGAATAATTATAGTACCTCCCTTGTAGTATTACATAAGGACATAAAGAGTTAATACAGGTAAAATGCATTTAAAAAATGGTCTGAAATACAGTAAATGCTATATAAAAATTGCTACTGTTCTTTGGATACTATTATTACATTATAATACTAGTGCTGCAAGGTAGAAAATGGCTAACACACTATTCACTATGGATACGAGGGCTGTTGCAGACAAAACAAAATATATTTTCTCTAAGAGCAGCAGGACCTGTTCAAAATATCTTGGGAGGGCTGGGCACCATGGCTGATATGTGTAATCCCAGGACTTTGGAAGTCTAAGGTGGGCAGATACTTGAGGTCAGGAGTTCAAGATCAGCCTGGCAAACACGGTGAAACCCCATCTCTACTAAAAATAAAAGAATTATCTGGGTGTGGTGGCAGATGTGTGTTATCCCAGCTATTCAGGAGGCTGAGGCAGGAGAATTGCTTGAACCCAGGAGGAGGAAGCTGCAGTGAGCCAAGACCATGACACTGAATTCCAGACTCAGTGACAGAGTGAGACTCCATCTCAAAAAAAAAAAAAAAAACAATCTGGGGAGACTGAATTTCTTTTTGGAGTTCTATATAGAAATAAAGGACAATGCATCTCTAATAAATTCATTTTGTTGCTGTAGGAATCACCCCCTATATGGTGAGCTTGGTACTTGAGAAACAAAGGAACAGAAAACCATGGTCCATATTAAATTTAAAATGTCTGACAAAATGGAAAGGCCAACACCTAGCAGATAGGTCCAATGACACACATAATTAAATGGTCTAAGCTCGGCAAATCTTCCCACGGATGTTGGTGAATCGTAAATCAGTTCAAGAGGAGGCCAGACAAATTGTAGAGACTGAACAAATCATTGAGAGAGATGGAAGGCAGAGAAAATTATCCTCCAAAGAGATTTTTAGAATTATGTTCTCTTAGGTAAGGGGAGAGGGGTGCTTTGAGAATGTCTGAACATAGAATCTCTTTCCACTTCCAATGGACATGAACTCTGAAAGCAAGAATAATTTAAGTGCTTTCTTTTTTGAAAAAAGAAAAAGGTTAAGGATCCTTCCATATAGATAACAATGTATTGTTTTATCCCAACCTCCTACCCCAAATACATAGAAAAATTAACCCTTCTGGATCTCAAGTAAACTAGGATCTGATAAAAAAAAAAGTTGAACTTTGTACATTAATTATGGATCGGATTAAAGCAACAGCCCTAAAAATAAAAGCAGAACTATTCTTCCTGTGGCAGCTCTGTTAGTTAGTTTATCACCCACCATATGTGCTGCCACCAAAAATTATAATGGGCCAGCATTGTTAACCATAAACAGAGAGACTTGATTATTATTTACGGTCTTGTTAACCACATCAGTGAAGCCAACCAAACTGGGTCGGTGCAGGAAGTAAAGAAGTATGTTCCTTAGGCATAACTTGCAGAATAACAGGTGAAACCCAATGGTTCCCCTGTGATCAGAGCACATTTGGTCAGTATAATGTGCATGACTTTTTAAGAAAGAAATATATCCTGAAGTTTGGCATGTGATTAATGCAACTGATAGTGACCTTTAACATGGAGTCAAAGGATATAACAAAATAAAAGGTGTCTAACCCAGTCTAAAGAGTAGTTTCCTTTCAGATTTCAATTACTTAGGTCACTGGCTAAATTCTGGTGATATAAACAAAAATATACCCATAAATATAATGCAGATAGGTTCTTTGCCATGCACACATCACATTGTACAGTATTGATTATCAATCAAATGCATTGATTGACTCAATCTATGAAAGCATTAAAAAATTTAGTGTTTATCCATATCCAATTTTTATCTCCTTGTGAGAACATGGGAAGACTGTGTTTGCCATCTCCTTGCAAATAGCTACGCCCAAATTATTAGTGACCCGGTCATTTAGTTACTAATACGAGAGATTTTACTCTAGGTTTTTCTCAGCGACATCAGTCAAGAAGGCTGTGTGTTCATGAAACTAAAGCTACAGGTTGATAGAGCCTCGAACAAACTGAATCACCAAGTCACTATGTGGAGGAAACGACATGGAGGTAATCATGGTGGGTTTTACATGAGCAAGAAACAAACCTGCTTTTCATTTCTTTTTTTTTACTTGTTTGTTGTTAATTGTTGTTGCTGTCACTGAGATCCTGGGGGTTATTTGTAACAGACGCATGTCCTGACATGTAATGACTTTCTGCATGTATCTGTACAATAGTACAAATGTACATGGCTGACCTTGACTCTGAGAGGTTCTGCAACAACAGGTCAGAAGAGAGGAACCCGAGCATGGGTGTGTTGTGTTTGCTCCCCAGTTGATCATGTGAGCCTACCTACAAAGAGAGAAACTATGCTACAACAGGAACTGGCAAAACCACAACCCACAGGCCAAATCCTGTTTGCTTTTGTAAATAAAGTTTTATCAGAATACAGCCATGCTCATTCATGTATGCATTGTCCATGGGGGTTTTGAGCTGCAATAGAAGACTTGAGGAGGTGCAGCAGAGACCGTTAGACCTGCAAAATCTAAAATATTTACAATCTGGCTCTTCACAGAAAAGGTTTGCTGACCCCTGTCCTGGAGTTTTGTGAAAGCGCCCTACTTCCTGGTACAATCTAGTTAATAATGTAATTTGCTCAGATAGGCGGCATCACGGCGAGCAACCTTTTCTACAAAGGTAGCTACTGTGAAAACACACCTCAAAATGAGACACAAGGCAGAAAACCATTCAAAGCATCTCTGACCCACTTCTTTTTTTATTCTTTAATTTTTTATTGATACACAATATCTGTACCCCTTTACAGTGTGCTTGTGGTATTTTGTTACATGCACAGAATGTGTAAGGATCAAGTTTGGGTTTTCAGGTTGCCCATCACCTCCAGCATTTCTCATTCTTCTGTGTTGGAAACACTACTTGTTCCTCTCATCCTCAGCTCTTGAGGCCTTGAAGGCTTTTTGCTTGTTTGCTTGTAGAACTGATACTTTTGAACTTGGTGCTATCTATGGACATCGATCTAGACAAGGAGCACAAATTTCCTCTTTGATTGGAAGCAGTGGTATTCTCCCTGTTCTCCACATGGTGAAAACTACTCCTGGGCAAAAAAAAAATGTATGCCAGTCAGAAAAGTGTCATGTTCTTTGCACAGTTTTACAATGCTAAATGGAGAGGTCTCCAAACCAGCTTTTTGTGATAGGCAACGTCTGAATTTATTTGCAGTCTTGGGTGGTTTCTGAATGTTGTGCTCATTTGTGGGGTAGTGAGTTTTTATTTTTCTGTTGAAAACTACCTTATAAATGAATCACTGAAGAGATACTCTGAAATTCTGAGATTAGAGGCATTTAAATGGAAGGTGTTTTTAAAACTTTCCTCTCCCCCACCATCCTGGCTTCTCTCTGTCCTATTACATTTCTTTATTTTTTCATTACATTTATTACCATAAATGTTTTGTGCATATTTTTATAGGTAAGTATGTATTTAATTTATATGTGTAGTGTCTGTCTTACCTTGGCTAGGATGCAGGCAGGAATATCACATTAATGTGTTAATTATTTTATTCTAAGTACATAGAACAAGGATTGGAAATCATTTCCAGTAAAGAGCCAAATATTAAATATTTCAGGCTTTGTGGCCCATATAGTCTCTGTCACTACTCGTCTGTGCTGTTGCAGCACAAAGACAGCCATAATCGACACGTAAGTGAAGGGGTGTGGCTCTGTTCCAACATAATTGCATTTACAAAAACAAGACAAGGGCTGGATTGTTCCAGAGCGCTATAGTTTGCTGACATAATACATACCTTATACACATAACAGATACCTCATATATATCTATTATACAAATGAATGAATACCTTAACTGTGTGTGGTCAAATTATAGTCAGAAAGTACACACCATATGGCAGGCATTCTTCCCAGTGCCAAAGATGTAAAATCAAGTATAACATAAAATTGATAAACGCTAAAGAAATTCCACTTCTATTTGTATGCCCAAACAACCTGAAAACAGGGATTCAAACAGATACTTGTACACTGATGTTCATTGCTACATTTTTCGCAATACCCAAAAGGTGAAAACAACTGAAATGTCTGTCAATATATACTTACAATGGAATATTTTTCAGCCCTAAGATGTAATGAAGCTTTAACATATGTTACAATATGGATTGAACATGGAAAACATTATGCTAAGTGAAATAAGCCGGCAATAAAAGGATGAATATTAAAAAAAAAGAAAGAAACGTAGTGGTGCTAAGCACTTACATGCATTATCTCATTTAATCCCACCCACGATTTTAAGAACCAAGTATTATCATGAATCCCATTTTACAGTTTAGTTAACCAAAGCTTCACATGGTTAAGGAGCTTGCCCCAAAATCACACACACAGCATGTAGCAGTGCGATTCCAACCAGAGAAATTCAATTAAAAGCACATGCTCCTAACAACACCAGTGGTCTGTGAGTGGAGACCACTGTTGGCTGAGGTCCATGTGGGTGATGTGTCATAATGAACTGACATTCACATCGACTTCAGGCTAAGTGCATACCTCCCAGATAGTTAGGTTTCTGCATTTAGAGCTTTCCAGGCTTAAAAATCTGTGCAGCAGAGGAACTGGTGTCTGTTTCTTTGGGCCTTTATATGCTCAGAGGGCTAACGTAAGAGCCTGGAGTCCTTTCAACTCCTCTAAAGAGTGACCTTTTCCTAGAGAGCACAGATTACTGCAACCCAGCTGAGAAACATGTGCAGAGACTTGCTTTATTCTGAGAAAGAGAGAGCAAGATATTTAATCAAAAGATAAAAGAAATAATGCCAACTACCATGTGGCTAGAAGAGGTAATCTCGGGAAGCTTGAGCTAACAGGGTAATATGTGGCTTTCAAGCTGCACACTGGAAGCACACAGCTGTTAGGGTGGATGATGCATCCAAACTCTACCTTCCAAAGTGTGCCTTATGCATGAACGAGATCGTTTGCCTATAAGCTCTATGTCCCCACCCACAGCTTGCTGCCACAACCAGCCCATAGGCTCCATGAATATAACCAAGCAGGGAAAGGGCTCAGTTTCCTGTCACACATTCCTGAATCCACATAAGAAAAAGAAACTCTTTCTCCCACTTCAGCCCCCTGCCCATTCCTTTGCTGACTTATAACAGAAAGGGAATTATGAGTAGTAATGTAAGATTCCTCAAGACTCACTGAGAACCATTTCACAGGCAAACAAGGTTATTTCATTAAAAGATCATGCACCTTGTTCTCACAAGTGGGAGCCAAATAAAGAGAACTCATGGACAGAGGAACAACACACACTGGTGCCTGTTGGTGGGTGGGTGGAAGGAGGGAGAGTATTAGGAAAAACAGCTAATGCATGCTGGGCTTAATACATGGGTGATGGGTAGATAGGTCAAGGAAACCACCATGGCACACATTTACCTATGTAACAAATATGCACATCCTGCACATGTATCCCAGAACTAAAAACAAAAAATAAGTAAACAAAAAGATCATGCACCTGAAAAGATGTTCAACATCATTAGACATCAGGAAAATGCAAATTAAAACCATGATGATGAGATATTACATACCCACAAGAATGGCAGTAATACAAAAGACAGATAGGCAATGTGAACAGTTGTCAAGGATGTGGCACAACTGGGATGCGTGTCTGCTCCTGGGGGAGATATCCAATGATGCAATCGCTTTGGAAAAACACTTCAGTGCTTTCTTTTTTTTTTGAGATGGAATCTCACTCAGCCACCCAGGCTGATATGTGCAATGGCATGATGTCGGCTCACTGCAACCTCTACCTCTTAGGTTCAAGCGATTCTCCTGCCTTAGCCTCTGGGGTAGCTGGGATTACAGGAACTCACCGCCATGCCCAGCTAGTTTTGTATTTTTAGTAGAGATGGGGTTTCACCATCTTGGCCTCCTGACCTCAAGTGGTGCATCTGCCAAGGCCTCCCAAAGTGCTGGCATTACAGGCATGAACCACTGTGTCCAGCCAGCTTAGTGGCTTCTTAAGCTCAAGTTCAACTTACTATACAACCCAGTAATTCCACTACTAAGTATCTACCCAAGAAAAGTGAAAGCATAGGTTCACCTAAGAACTTGGAAACAAGTGTTCACAGCAATAGTCTACATAATAGTTTAAATACAGAAACAATCCAAGCATCCATCAAGGAACGGATAAATGTATACACAAAATATGGTACATCCACGTCATGGAATATTACTCAATAATAAAGAAAGTAGTCATATATACATCCACATGGATGAACCTCAAAAACTTTCTGCTAAGTTAAAGAAGCCAGACACAGATCACACACTGTGTGGATTTATTTCTATGACATATCCAGGAAAGGCAAATCCAGAGCTTAAATCACAATACAGCATTTAACGCAAAACAGATTCTCAATAAATATTTGTTTAAAGAATATACTCTAACCAGGTCACTGTGATAGACTGAACTCTCTCTTGGAAGACCAAAATGTTTCCCTTTCATTCCATTTCTCAGTGTCACCCAGGGTGGGACATGTTTTGCTCTCGTCCTCAACTCTTAGAGAAGCCGCTGAGCATTATAGGTAATTTAACTTGTATCATATAATACAACATCACAGTATTATGTGACAACAGTTATATGACATTGGGCTAAAGAATATTACTGTATTCAATTTTATGATGCTTTGTGCTGTAGTGGGACTTCACTGTAGATGACGCTATGGAATTAGTTTCTTTATAGATGATTAAAATTTAAAAAGTCCTAAATGTGTTCCACCCTCCTGGAGCCATTCTCAGTCTTAACTACCACCTCGTGATATCTTTACTGCTCTTTTTCTAGTTTTCCTGAAAACTGCATTTGAAGTGTAAAAGCAGTATGCACTACTGTAATTGAGATGACAAATGCTGAAATACAAGGAAGGAAGCAAGAAATAAGAGACAAAATGGATTCTGAGAGAAAAAAATATTGCCAGTCAAATGGAACTCATTTTCACACAAAACATTTGAAATCAGTGCCTCCCTTTCAGAGTCACTGAATGCACAGATGTATACATGTAGCCTGTTGTTTCTGAATTTTGTTTTACAACATTAAAGTGAATGGTGTCTGGAAAGACATGTGTTTTTGATGGTGGCACTCAGCATCAGCTATTAGTTTCTTCAAATTATGGTTTCTAAATGCATGGTAGGTCTGACCACGTTTTCAGAGTCTGTGGTGGAATTTGAAATAAAAGAGGGAGGAGAAAAGGAGTGATTTTTTCTTTAATTTTATGTAAATAATAAAATAGTTGTGTGATTTTTGTTGTAACCCAAGAAAACAAGATTTTATGAACTACAAATAATAACAACTGAACCCTAGTTTTATTCTGAACTCATATTATTTTCTACTTGTTGGATATCAAAATGTTATTCCTACCAGGAAACTCAAGGGAAAACAGATATGTGGTAGTTTCCCTTTGTTTGTTTTGCAATTCTTTTACATGAAAACTATATTGAGGGGGGAAATTTTAGTTTTTTAGTTAACTGCTCTAAGATATTCAAGTCTTTTGCTTGGAACTTCATGGCAGGTCAGTTTTAAATGGAGGGAGATAATCATCTCCCCATGTTCTCTAAACCTTCACTGCAGAAGGCACTGCACCAGCTGCTTAACTGTACACTGGGAAGCCAATCTTTACTTTGAAAGGCCAAGACTGATGCCTTTGTGTCTGCCACTCGGGTCCCCACACAGGTGAACCCATCCTTGTATGTCAAGATCCTCTTCTGTCTCCTGCTTTCAGCCTTGTGCTGCCTCCATTGGTATAACTGCATGATGTGTGTTCCCAGTAACTCAGAGAGAGTTTTTTTTTCTTTATTTTCCCCAATGTGAAAGAAACAACAGGGATGCTAATTACACTTAATGGAACTTGGCACAATTTCTCAGGAGGTAGTGCTAATTTGCAGAAGGTAGCACTTCAGATTTGCTGATAAAAGGCTGGGGATCAAAAGGTGGCTGTGGGAGACAGAGAACTATGTATTTTTCATCCACCACTGCCTTGGTGAGAATAACAATGTCTTCCACACTATAAACACACTAGTGGGAAGATTTACTTTTATGATATACTTTATTAGGAAAATGTGTAGTGCATTGAGGAGTAAAAAGAGAGAAACTGCTGGACATGTATGTGAAAAGAGCAGTTTTTCTGACGGGATTTGGAAACCCTATGGTGGTAAATTTATTGTGGGGTATTTAGATTTTAGGTAATACAAGAAAATATGGAATTATTGGTTAATGCCAATGCACTTTAAGTCCAAGATGCAGAATTCTAGAAGTAAAAGGTCATTTATAACTTATCTAATTTGGATGTTTCACTTTACAGATGAGAATGTTAAAGCACATCCATCATTTTTTTTGAATTGCCCTTTATTATGTGAATTATGACAAAACTGGAAGCAAAGGCCAGCCTCTTCATGAATGTTGAATTCTTCCTACTACACTACAGGGCTTCCAAGACAGGCTCACACCCTGTGCCCACATCTCCTCTCTGGATATTGTTCTACCTGGGGACACAGCCTCCCATAAATGGTACTCATCAGCAGAGATGTGTCTCCATAATCAGCCCACTTTAAGCTATATGTTAAGCTAAATTTTACAGAGAAAAAAAGAAACAAGCCAAGCCAAAATTCAAAGGACCTGGGAACTTTGATGAAGGATAGAGACAGATTGATAATGAGTTACTATAGTTCTAAAGCTTAGCTGCTCAGAAAACACTAGCTGATCATTTCCATTTTAAATAAACCCATTTGCAATGGCCCTTCTGGTATGGTGAAGTAAATGGAAATGGCCCCTTCTATATTATTGATAAAGACACCAGGGTTCAGAATGGAAAGAGAGAAAATTATGTTCTAAACACTGAGGTGGCCTCTTGGCCACAGTTCTACCCCTTGTGCTGAATTTCGTGTCATATAAAGATTCACTTTGAAAGAAATCGCTTTCTATAATCCTGCAATCTACTTCGAAAGTTAAGGCACACATACATAAAGCAATCAGAGAACAGACAAAACAGGGATAAACTGACATTAGTGATGGCAGAAATTTATTAAGAACACACTATGTGCCAGGCCTGGCATGGTGGCTCATGCCTGTATTCTCAGCACTTTGGGATGCCAAGGCGGATGGATCACATGGTCAAGAGATTGAGACCACCCGTCTCTACTAAAAATACAACAAAATTTGCTGGGCTTGGTGGTGCATGCCTGTAATCCCAGTTACTTGGGAGGCTGAGGGAGGAGAATCACTTGAGCCAGGGAGGCAGAAGTTGCAGTGAGCCCAGGTCATGCCACTGGACAGAACAAGACTCCATCTCAAAAAAAAAAAAAAAAGAACATACTATGTGTCAAGAGCTGAGCTAAGCATTTTCTCACTGAATCCTTACAGCAAACTGGGATGTACAATGACACTGCTGTTCTCATCACAGGGAAGAGGAAATTGGGGTTTCATGGTCTTTAAGCTGCTTTCCCAAGAGCACAGTTCATGGAGGGTTAGACCTGCTAGGAGTTAGTTCCGGATGCCTCTGGCTTGCACAACTCCTCACCCATTGTTGGCTGGCGGTGGCGGCAGGTGACACCCAAGGCCTTAAGAGCACAGGAGACATAGGGAGACTATTTTGGAAAAAGAATGGGATGAAGCTGGACCTCCAAGACAAATAAGATTTTGACAACTGGAAATGAAGGACATATTCCAGGCAAGAGGCAGAGGGTAATCAAACAGACTGGAGCAAGATGGGAGAAAGTGCTTTTCAGGATCACCTACAAAAGGAAACCTGATATACAAATAGAGTCATAAAGACAGACCTCACCAGATCGCTGAGGGCAGAGCTGGATGTTTAGATAAAACCCTCAACAGGGCACAGTGGACAGCAATGGATTTAAGGGGAAGGGATCTCCAGAATTTAAGAGGAAGCTCTGTCACCACCTTAGTAAGCTACATGCTTCCTCTAAGACTCTAGCTCCTCATGAAGTCATTCATTCAACCAAGGTGTATGGAGCCTTCACTGTATGTGAAGATACAGCAGAACCAAACCAAACCAAAACACCTCTGAATTATACCACTTAGGGCTAAAAGATACTTAAAGTAGGTACTTCTAAGATGTGAGAATTAAACAGGTGAACCAGTCAAATCCTTTACTTTCTCACATGGAAAGTGCTCAATTAGCAAGGAGTGGTGGCTGGTACCAGCAATGCCAGCTACTCATGAGGTGGGAGAAACACTTGAGACTAGGTATTTGAGACCAGCCTGGGCAACAGAGCAAGACCCTATCTCAGAAATTTTTTTTTTTTTAGTTAGCTAGGTGTGATGGCCTGTGCCTGTAGTCTCAGCTACTCAGGAGATTAAGGTGAGAGGATCACTTGAGCCCAGAAGCTCAAGCTGCAGTGAGCTGTGATCACTCCACGGCACTCCAGCCTGAAAGACAGAGCAAGACACTGCCTCTAAAAACAAATAATCAAAAGGGCACCCAATTAATAGTGGTGGAGAGCAAGAGGATAAATAGTTATTTTTATTGCCATTGTTTTAAGAAGTATTAATCTAGTCACCACCCTATATTTTCTATATAAGGGGTTTGGAAGTTTGAAGTTATGTCTGTGCAAAACATAAAATAATATTAACTAACCAGCAGGCATACACCAAATACTAATTATATTGATTTTTAATTTTTTTGGAAACAGACTCCCTCTTTATCACCTAGGCTAAAGTGCAGTGGCATGATGCCGGCTTACTACAACCTCCACCCTGCCAGGCTCGAGTGATCCTCCCACCTCATTCTCCCAAGCAGCTAGGACCACAAATATGTGCCACCACGCCCAGCTAATTTTTTTAACTTTTTTATAGAGATGGGGACTTGCCATGTTGCCTAGGTGGGTCTTGAACTCCTGGACTTAAGCGATCTGCCTGCTTTGGCTTCCCAAAGTGTGGGGATTACAGGCACTAACCACTGTGCCCAGCAGTTATGTATTTTTTAAATGTGAAGGTATCCATGTGGGAGGGGAAGGCAGAAGAATTAATGCTGTGTGTCATCATATGCAACAAAGCAGTTTTGACATTGGTGTAGTAGTAAACCCTGCACCAATGTTTTGTTCTATCACTGACTCTGAGCCTCTGTTTCTTCATTGGTAAATGGGACTGATAATGCACCTATCTGGTAGGAATCTTTCAAAGATGTAATTAATCATGTAAATCACTGTTTTTCAACAAGGGGATTTTATCTTCCTGGGGACATTTGGCCATGTCTATAGATATTTCTCAGAGAGGAATAAAGTTGGAGAGGCAGGTGCTGCTGAATCTAGTGGATACCCTGGGTTAGGGATTCCATTAAACACCCTACAAATGTACAGGGAATTCCCTAGCCTCCACCCATAAGAAATAACTATATGACCCAACATACCCTTAGTGCTGAGAATCAGAAACCCTGATATAAACAAATCCCTTAGCACAATGGCTAGCATCTCATAGAAACTCAAAATTCTTAGTATAATATCACATAATAATATATTACAATTTTCATCATCACCATTATTGTTGCACCCTTTTCATATAAATATGAGGAAACTATGACCATAAATATTTTCAGAATTTGAAACAATTATTGGTGTTGCCTTCTTAATAGGTGAGAATTTCATGTTTTTCCTGGCCTGAGACACTGAATGATTTGCCTCCTTCTTCCACATCCAACCTACACTGTCACCGTAACAAATGCCATCTATAAATCTAGGTATGTTTCTGTGCTATAGTTTATTGCTCTTAATTAGAGCATCAGAATTATTCCCCATGGAGTTCACCCAAGGAAGGACATTGGAAAACCTTTAAAAAATATACAACTTTAATAAATGGAGTTAAGACAAAAATAGAGGCACACTCCTCCTATTTGAAAGTACATTTGTTCATGTCAGGAGAATGAAGACTGAATGAATTATTAATTAGAATAACAGTTTGTTGGCAAAATTGTTGTCTTTGGATAGTGTGCATTATGGATCGAATAAATAATGTGCTATAGATATTTTTAGGGACTGAAGAGTCAATCTAGGAAGAAAATTTGTAACAGGAAGGAAAGGAAGTTATGGCTAGCAGTGGTGGAGGCTTCTCAGTAAAATATGCAAAAGACATAAAAATTGCCTCCACTAAGATGTAAATTAGGGAAACCAGAAGAAAACCTCCTAAACACTTTCCTCTTCTGCGTGTGGCCATTTTTCTTCAATGTAATTGAAGGTTTTCTGTAACAGTATGAGCAAAATGAGGCTTATAACTAGGTTTCCTATAGCCACTTTTTTGAGCTCTCCAACGAAGTCCACAAATCACGTGGAATGAGAATTGGAGGACACTGTGGCTCTTGAGGCTTGGGGTACACTCTTTTCTATCTCCTACCTGGCTTTGCCTCCTAACATGTTATCAGACAAGGCTTCCCTTCATTTACACCTCAGCTGCAAAAGACACCTTGGTCCATTTTGAACTCAGAAAGAGAAAATTCACTCAGACTCTCCAAAAATTCTAGATCAAACAAAAGTTTGCTGGGGAAACCACACTCCCATTAGCCATTTTAATACAGAGCTGCTGCTCATAGAAAAGCCAGCATTGATAAGTGAACTTTAAGGCTGATTGATTCAACAGACAGAAGACCATTTTGCTTCATTGAATCTTTTAAACGTAGCTAATGCTGTCAACTATTCTGGAGCATTTCATGTTTTTCCTCTAAGGCGGAAAAAAAATGCTTCATAAAAGCTGAAATCTAAGTAAAAAAAAAATCCGTACCTTGTGTGGTTCTACACTGTTAAGGACAGACTCATGCTACAAACACCCCCTACCCAGCAGCATCCCCGACAAGCACATGAATCAAACACCTCCCTAAAAGAGTGGTTGGTGCACCTTTTCTGTGAAGGGCCAGATAGTAAATATTTTAGGTTTTGCAGGCCAGATGGATTTTGTCGCAGTTATTCAACTCTGCCCTTGCAGAGTGAAAGCAGCCACAGACAGTATGTGAATGAATGACTAAGGCTGTGCTTTTGTAAATAAAATCCACAAAAACAGGTGTCAGGCTGGATTTGGTCCTCAGGCCTTAGTTTGCCTCCCTCTAGGGAATTAGTTTCCTAGGGCTGCAGTAATAAATTATCAAAAACTGGTGATTTACAACAACAGAAATTTATTCTCTGGCAGTTCTGGAGGCCAGAAGCCCTCAAGCAAGGTACTGGTGGGGTTTTACTCCCTCCAAAGACGGCAAGGGAGGATCTTTTTGGTTCCTTCCACTTTCTGGTGGTCCTGGCATGCCTTGGCTTGTGG